AGATCTCCAAGTACAACTCTATGGGCCTAGTGTGCAGGTGCCTTGCCAAACTACAAATCCCAAGACCCTGTAGCATTGAGTTGTTGAGTCAAAGTGGTGCCAAACTGCATTCATTCCACATTGCCTATGTCTCCAAGTACAAGTCTACGGGTCTAGTGTACTGGTGCCTTGCCAAACTACAAATCCCAAGACGCTGTTACATTGAGTCATTGAGTCAAAGTGGTGCCAAACTGCATTCATTCCACAGTGTCTATGTCTCCAAGTACAACTCTATGGGTCTAGTGTACTGGTGCCTTGCCAAACTACATATCCCAAGACGCTGTTGCATTGAGTCGCTGAGTCAAAGTGGTGCCAAACTGCATTCATTCCACAGTGCCTAGATCTCAAAGTACAACTCTATGGGTCTACTGTACTGGTGCCTTGCCAAACTACAAATCCCAAGGCGCTGTTGCATTGAGTCATTGAGTCAAAGTGGTGCCAAACTGCATTCATTCCACAGTGCCTAGATCTCCAAGTACAACTCTATGGGCCTAGTGTGCAGGTGCCTTGCCAAACTACAAATCCCAAGACCCTGTAGCATTGAGTTGTTGAGTCAAAGTGGTGCCAAACTGCATTCATTCCACATTGCCTATGTCTCCAAGTACAACTCTATGGGTCTAGTGTACTGGTGCCTTGCCACACTACAAATCCCAAGACGCTGTTGCATTGAGTCATTGAGTCAAAGTGGTGCCAAACTGCATTCATTCCACAGTGCCTAGGTCTCCAAGTACAACTCTACGGGTCTAGTGTACTGGTGCCTTGCCAAACTACAAATCCCAAGACGCTGTTGCATTGAGTCATTGAGTCAAAGTGGTGCCAAACTGCATTCATTCCACAGTGCCTAGTTCTCCAAGTACAACTTTACGGGCCTAGTGTGCTGGTGCCTTGGCAAACTACAAATCCCGAGATGCTGTTGCATTGAGTGATTGAGTCAAAGTGGTGCCAAACTGCATTCATTCCACAGTGCCTAGGTCTCCAAGTACAACTTTACGGGCCTAGTGTGCTGGTGCCTTGGCAAACTACAAATCCCGAGATGCTGTTGCATTGAGTCGTTGAGTCAAAGTGGTGCCAAACTGCATTCATTCCCCAGTGCAGATGCAAGTCAACTGCAGGTACTTTGCCCATAAGAGAGGCCATGACCCATGCCGCCGGTTTCAGAGAGAACCAAAACCACAGACCTGCCTTCAGGTCAGAACTGCCCCAAATTCCACCCAAATTGCAAAACTGCAGTTGTTGTTTTTTATTATATGTCTCTCCCCTCCCTTTCTCCAGAAGTGGGGCGAATGCTCTCCATTCTGACCTGTTTAGCTACCACATCATTTCAAGACATTATACAAAAAGACATTGCATAATTGGGTGTGTATTTGGTTGCTGTTTTGGCTCAGTTGTGCAATGGTGCCCTTCGAGCCTTTGCACAGCACCATTAATGCATGGCATCCTGTGAAGAGATGTATACTGATAAGATCTAGACCAGTATCGTCTGTTGGTTTGAGTGTTGGATTACGACAACACTGGAAACCAGGGCTGGAAATAACCAATCATCTATAGAAAAGCTTTTTTTTGTTGAGTTCCAGGGCCAGAGAAGCAGATGGCAGGAAACAGAAGAACGGCCTGCCTCAGGGGAGCGTGCTTGCTCCATCCATGTTCAACATCTACACAAATGACCAGCCACTGCCAGAAGGGACAGAGAGTTTCATCTATGCTGATGATCGTGCCATTACTGCTTAAGCAGGGAGCTTTGAGATGGTAGAACAGAAGCTCTCCGAAGCTCTAGGTGCTCTTACTGCCTATTACAGGGAAAACCAGCTGATCCCTAATCCATCTAAAACACAGACATGTGCTTTTCACCTTAAGAACAGACAAGCATCCTGAGCTCTGAGGATTACCTGGGAAGGAATCCCACTGGAGCATTGCAGCACACCCAAATACCTGGGAGTCACTCTGGACCGTGCTCTGACCTACAAGAAGCACTGCCTGAACAACAAGCAAAAAGTGGGTGCTAGAAACAATATCATACGAAAGCTGACTGGCACAACCTGGGGATCACAACCAGACACAGTGAAGACATCTGCCCTTGCGCTATGCTACTCTGCTGCTGAGTATGCATGCCCAGTGTGGAACACATCTCACCACACTAAAACAGTGGATGTGGCTCTTAATGAGACATGCCGCATTATCACGGGGTGTCTGTGCCCTACACCACTGGAGAAATTACACTGCTTAGCCGGTATTGCACCACCTGACATCCGCCGGAAGTAGCAGCCAATAGTGAAAGGACCAAGGCAGAGACATCTCCAGCTCATCCCCTATTTGGGTATCAGCCAGCACGTCAACGACTTAAATCTAGAAATAGTTTTCTAAGATCTACAGAGACACTCGCTGGAACCTCAGCAAGCGAGAGTCCAAAAGTGGCAGGCTCAAACCCAGCACCTCAACCAATGCCTTATACCAAATGAGAGACTCCCCCCTGGGCACACAGAAGACTGGGCGACTTGGAAGGCGCTGAACAGACTGCGCTCTGGCACCACGAGATGCAGAGCCAACCTTCAGAAATGGGGCTACAAAGTGGAATCCTCGACATGCGAGTGTGGAGAAGAACAAACCACTGACCACCTGCTGCAATGCAACCTGAGCCCTGCCACATGATGCACCATGGAGGACCTTCTTGCAGCAACACCAGAGGCACTCCAAGTGGCCAGATACTGGTCAAAGGACATTTAATCAACTACCAAACTTACAAATTTTGTGTTTTGTCTGTTTGTTAAAATGTAATGTAAATGTAATGTCTGGTTGATACTGACACGATAAATAAATATAGAAAAGCCCACCCTTTTGGTCTCAAAGGAAAGCCAATGGCTCTTTTGAGCAAACCTTGCCCAGAACACCCTGTGATGGAGTCAGCATGGGTCGGAAATCACTTGAAGGAGCACAATACCATCAGCAAATCCTTTGGCAAACGGCTTCAGACAGCATTGCAAGGCTCTCCTTTTCCCCAAAGAGTGTGGAAACACAAGTGCGCAATGAGGCATCGTCACATGCAGCAGCATACACAGAAACAAGCAAGCACATACCAACCATGGCATCACACCACTTGGCCCCATTGCAACATACAGTATAGATACATATGGGGAAGGGAAGGGGAGTTCAGTGGCCGGCCACATCCTTCCCCATATTTCTTAACCTGAACCAAGGTGCGGTCTTCCTCTGTCCATCCTAGATTCAGTCTGAATTTTAAAGGACCGAGACAGGGGGGTGAATCTGGTTGTGAAAAGCTCTGCATCCTAGGGAGCTTCTTTAAAGGTCCAGCTAAATGCCAGAATGGACACATGCCTTTCCAATTATGGAGTGGTCTTACAGTTATGGTGTGAAATACCCTTCATCCCCAGCCACAAAATGGAATCCAAATGCCTAGAGAAAGCAATGCTGGGGATGTAATGCCTCTTAAAAATGGCCATTCTCAGAGCAAGGTTTTGAGCTCAGTCCTCCTCCCCAAATCAGTTCAGGGTCTCGGATAGTTCGGATAGTTCTGGTAAAGTCAAAACAAACATCCAGAAAGGATTCTCGGTGCCACCGATGGGAGATCCACCAGACATAGATATAACAATCTGGGGAGTTTGGAACCTTTCTTGTGGGCAAACACAGATCACTCCAGCAAAAAACTCAAAGGGAAACTGGATTGTTTCCAAAAGGAAAAGAGAAGAAGAAAGAAACAATAAAGGAGAGGAGAGGAAAGAGAAGCACAAAGCAAAAAGAAAATCGAACTGCAAAGAAAGCAAGGCAAGGAAAGGAAAGGAAAGGGAAGCAGAAAGAAAATGTAAAAGTAAGGAAAGGAAAGGAAAAGCTGAAAACAAAAAAAATGAAGGGAAGGGAAGGCAAGGCAAGGAAGGAAGAAATCAATCCTAAATGAAGGGAAGGAGAAGAGAAGGAAAGTGAAGGGAGGGAATGAAAGGAAAGGAAAGGAAAGGAAGAAATCAATCCTAAATGAAATGAAGGGAAGGGAAGAGAAAGGAAAGGAAAGGAAAGGCAGAAATCAATCCTAAATGAAGGGAAGGGAAGAGAAAGGAAAGGAAGGAAAGGCAAGAAAACCTAAATGAAGGAAGGAGAGAGAAGGAAGGGGAGGGGAAGAAGGGAAAGGAAAGAAAGGAAGAAGGAAAGAGGGACAGAAGAAGGGAAGGGAAGGGAAGGAGGGAAAGGGAAGGAAAGGAAAGGAAGGAAGAGGGAAAGGAAGGAAAGGAAAGGAAAGGAGAAGGAAAGGAAAGGAAAAGGAAAGGAAGGAAAGGAAAGGAAAGGAAAGGAAAAGGAAGAAAATAAGAAGGGAAGAAAGGAAAGGAAAAGCAGAAAGAAAACCTAAATGCAAGGAAAGGAAAAGCACAAAGCAGAAAAAAAACCCCAATGGTCCTGGGTTTTAGCAGTGCAAGCATAAACTGAAAAGTAAAGCTGCATGTTGAATGCTCTGCCTGTCCACACAGCTCCCAACTCTCATGCTGGCTCCCAATTAAAGACATTATGAAAATCACGCCAAACTTCCCATAACGTCAGCTCTCTGGTTATGAGTATCTCATTAACTGAAAGCGTCTGTGACATCTCCCTTAATATCCACTGCATTTGCATTAACTTGCGTTCTGCAGGAATCCTTGTAGGATTCAGATAAGCCAGCAAGTCTTTTTTGTTAAAGAAGGTCACAGCTTATTTGCTTCCAACTGGTCCACCAAACTTTTCAAAACATCTGATTATCATTGACTATCTCATGTAATCAAAGCATTTTTACATTGTCGTAGAAATCTGTTATAGCTGATAAACTTGGACGTTGACAAAAGAACTGGCCTACAGCCAATTAACTTGCTGTTCTAAAATCCCTAGTTAGCAAAACAAACATGTCAAAGTATTCTAGATTTCACTTCCTAGAATTCAAGAAAATTCCCATCCAAATTTATACTGAATTGGGGGGTTTTCAAACTCACCTTTGGCGGAAACGGTGGCCGCAAGCATCAGAAACCCAAACCAAGACCACTTCTCCATTGCCCAAACCAAATCCCAGTTTCCTCCTCTTTACAAATGAGATTCTTCACTCTCTAAAACCAGGAGGGAAGTAACACTACTTCCTTCTCTTCACACATTTTATTATCCTTCCCTTTTTTTTTGTTGTTGTTGTTTAGAGAGAGAGAAAAGGCATCTTGCAATGGGTTGAATGTTTAGAAACATATTGGAGCAAACTGATTACAGAACAAGACAAAACTTTGCACTGATTGAAAGTGTTGAATCCAAAGACCTGGGCAGTGTGTATATATTTTGCATTCCTACCAAAACTGTACAAAACATCAGTATTTGTTTTATGGGGGGGGGGGGGGAATAATTTGGCTCTGTATAGGCTAATGTGGGCGCACAAAATGCTTGCATTTCTCTTTAATCGTGAGCCTTGATCTCAAGGATGTTCTTCCAGCAAAAACAAACTGACGCTGCAAACGTTGCACTCGATGCTTTCTGATATCAAGGAACCAACATTGGGCTGTTTGCGTGGAAGACATCTCTAGAAGGCCAGCAATGGGAAGAACATCTAAATATTTGCAGAATGTATTTTATTTAGATAGATGGGTGACCTTTATGATCCTACATAAGGTTGCCAAACTTGGGGTCCCATTCTGTTCCAATTCTGGTTTTGAATCAAATGTTTTAGTGGATTTTAAATGCCCGCCACCAAGTGCTTGTTGACAAAGATTTGCAGAATGTATTTTATTTAGATAGATGGGTGACCTTTATGATCCTACATAAGGTTGCCAAACTTGGGGTCCCATTCTGTTCCAATTCTGGTTTTGAATCAAATGTTTTAGTGGATTTTAAATGCCCGCCACCAAGTGCTTGTTGACAAAGGGATTTCACCAGAAACAGCAAGACAGAGGATGGCCACACATCTGAAGAACTGAAACAGGGCCCTCAAGAACTGTGACTGATTCTGATCTATATTAGGTGTAGAGCAGTGGTTCTTAACCTGTGAGCCACGAGGACAAAACTCTGGTCCGCAAGCCTTCTTCCTCTTCATTTATTTTATTTTATTTCTGCTCTTTTCATGCCGCCTGCCACTCCTTCTCTGTCGCTAACCATGGCATATGTTCTGTATCAGAAACTAGAGCTGATGTGGTCTATCCAATACAATTTTCTGAATCAGCACTCCAAACCGAATCTAAACTAATTTGTAACCCTTTTGGTACTAATGTTTTAGACTGATCCGTGGTCAAAGTGGTCCTGGTCAAGTAGTCCCTGGTTTGCTTGTTTGCTTGCTTTTTCCATATCAGGAGTGACTTGAGAAACTTCAAGTTACTTCTGGTGTGAGAGAATTGGCTGTCTGCAAGGACATTGTCCAGGGGATGTTGCCCAGATGTTTTACCATCCTGTGGGAGGCTTCTCTCATGTCACCGCATGGGAAATTGAAGCTGACCGAGGGAGCTCAACTCACTCTCCCCAGAATCGAACCACTGACCTGTCAGTCAGCAGTCCTGCTGGCGCAAGGGTTTAACCCATTGTGCCATTGGGGGCTCCCTGGTCCAAGTGGTCCCTGGTCCAAATGGTACCTGGTGAAAGTGGTCCCTGGTCAAAGTGGTCCCTGGTCAAAATGGCATTAAGCATTTCTCAACCAGTGGGTCGGGACCCCTGGAGGGGTTGTGAGGGGGTGTCATAGGTGTCGCCAAAGACCATCAGAAACCACAGTATTTTCTGTTGAACATGGGGTTTCTGTGTGGGAAGTTTGGCTCAATTCTGTCATTGATGGGGTTCAGAATGCTCTTCGATTGTAGGTGAACTATACATCCGAGTAACTACAACTCACAAGTGTCAATGTCTATCTTGCCCAAACTCCACCAGTGTCCACATTTGGGCATATTAAATATATGTGCCAAGTTTGGTCCAGATCCATCATTGTGTCCACAGTGCTCTCTGGATGGAGGTGAACCACAATTCCCAAACTCAAGATCAATGCCCACCAAAGCCTCCAGCATTTTCTGTTGGTCATGGGAGTTGTGTGTGCCAAGTTTGGTTCAATTCCATCGTTGTTGGAGTTCAGAAGGCTCTTTGATTGTAGGTGAACTATAAATCCCAGCAACTACAGCTCTCCAATGACGAAATCAATCCCCCCCAACCCCACCAGTATTCAAACTTGGGTGTATTGAGTATTTGTGCCAAATTTGGTCCAGTAAATGAAAACTCATCGGATATTGTATTGTCGAAGGCTTTCATGGCTGGAATCACTGGGTTGTTGTAGGTTTTTTCAGGCTATATGACCATGTTCTAGAGGCATTCTCTCCTGACGTTTCGCCTGCATCTATGGCAAGCATCCTCAGAGGTAGTGAGGTCTGTTGGAACTAGGAAAAAGGGTTTATATATCTGTGGAATGACCAGGGTGAGACAAAGGACTCTTGTCTGCTGGAGCTAGGTATGAATGTTTCAACAGACCACCTTGATTAGCATTTGATAGCCTGGCAGTGCCTGGAGCAATCTTTTGTTGAGAGGTGATTAGATTTCCCTGATTGTTTTCCCTCTTCTGTTTTGCTGTTTTAATTTTAGAGTGATGGAAAAGCTCCAGGCACTGCCAGGCTATCAAATGCTAATCAAGGTGGTCAGTTGAAACATTCACACCTAGCTCCAGCAGACAAGAGTCCTTTGTCCCACCCTGGTCATTCCACAGATATATAAACCCATTTTCCTAGTTCCAACAGACCTCACTACCTCTAAGGATGCTTGCCATAGATGCAGGCGAAACGTCAGGAGAGAATGCCTCTAGAACATGGCCATATAGCCCGAAAAAAACCTACAACAACCCACATCAGATATTTACATTATAATTGATATCAGTAGCTAAAGGACAGTTATGAAGTAGCAATGAAAATGATTTTATGATTGGGGGTCACCACAACATGAGGAACTCTATTAAGGGGTCGTGGCAATAGGAAGGTTGAGAAACACTGATCTAGAACAACCTAAAGGATGGAGTAAATTCCTCAAAAGAGCAGGTTTCCCTCTCTGGAAGTGAAACCTTGTGTTTCTGGGGGTCTTTGCTGCACCGAAGCGTCTCCATTCCCCACTCGAGCAACCCTATACCCAATCCCTTTGCCATTTGGCACAAAACAACCCCTTGGTCCCTTTCTAGGCTTGGAGAAGGTCTTGCCAAGGCAAGGAACCGGCCTTGCTGATGTTTCTCAAAAAGAAAATGCTGACGTGGAGGGAAAAACACAAGTCATGTGCCGAGACATGCCAGGGTTCGTTGGCTGACGTGATGCACAAAAAGGCTAGAAAGGTTTGAGGTTTTGCTTCCTCCACAGTTGCCACAGACAAAAAGGAGAAGTCGAGGCCTTCTTCCACGATCCAAGAGCGCAGAATGGGTGCTAATATTAATCCAGCCTATGCGTGCACTTTCTATATTTACTCTCCTTGGAAATAATGTGGAAGCCCCTAGATGTGACCTTCCAAGGATCAAGGCTCATGGGGGAAATTAGGTTTGCAGTATCTCACAATTCTCGGAAGAAAGGGACTACCTAGATCAGTGATGGGCAACCTTTTGAGCGTGGTGTGTCAAAATTCACCAAAAAACTGAGCATAATTCAGGTGGTGTGTCACTTCAAGAAAAAAAACACATAATTTCGCAATATTTAGTTTAAATAACAAAAAATATATAATTGTAATTCCCACTTTCTCTCTTATCATGTTGTTCTACCTCTCTTTATGTAAATAATATCCTTTTTGGAGTGTTTAATAAAAATATAATTTTAAAAACCCAACAAAGTATTATTTATTTTTAATTTAATGTAAATGTATTTCTAGCATTTAATATGTTATTTAACATATTTCTAATAATAATAATGCAATAATAATAAAGTAACATTGCAAAATAATATTTTGATATTTAATTTACCATTTCATTTAAGGCATATATATATATATATATATATATATATATATATATAAGGCATATATTAAAAATATTTAAAATGCATTAAATTAAAATGCATTAAATTAAATGTCAAATTAAAATTCAATTTACCATTTCATTTAAGGCATTCTGAAATGTTTGAGTAATATAGCAAAGTATCATTTAATTTAATTTAAATATGTAACTCCTTAATATTTAGGAAAAAATGCAAAATAATATTCGTTTACTTAATAATTAAATAAACCAATATTATTTTGCAATGTTACCTAAATATTAATAATAATTAAATATTTTTAAATTTGACATTTAATTTAATGCATTTTAATATTTGAATAATATAGCAAAGTAATAGTATTTATCATTCAGTTTAAATATTATTACAATATAATGGTATAGTGTTGTTCATTCGTTCAGTCGTCTCCCGACTCTTCGTGACCTCATGGACCAGCCCACGCCAGAGCTCCCTGTCGGCCACCACCCCCAGCTCCTTCAAGGTCAGTCCAGTCACTTCAAGGATGCCATCCATCCATCTTGCCCTTGGTCGGCCCCTCTTCCTTTTACCTTCCACTTTCCCCAGCATCATTGTCTTCTCTAGGCTTTGCTGTCTCCTCATGATATGGCCAAAGGACTTCCACTTTGTCTCTAGTATCTTTCCCTCCAGTGAGCAGTCGGGCTTTATTTCCTGGAGGATGGACTGGTTGGGTCTTCTCGCAGTCCAAGGCACTCTCAGCACTTTCCTCCAACACCACAGCTCAAAAGCATCGATCTTCCTTCGCTCAGCCTTCCCTAAGGTCCAGCTCTCACATCCGTAGGTGACTACAGGGAATACCATGGCTTTGACTAGGCGGATCTTTGTTGCCAGTCTGATGTCTCTACTCTTCACTATTTTATCGAGACTGGACATTGCTCTCCTCCCAAGAAGTAAGCGTCTTCTGATTTCCTGGCCACAGTCTGCATCTGCCGTCATCTTTGCGCCTAGAAATACAAAGCCTGTCACGGCCTCCACGGTTTCTCCCTCTATTTCCCAGTTGTCAATCATTCTTGTTGCCATAATCTTGGTTTTTTTGACGTTTAGCTGCAACCCGGTTTTTGCGCTTTCTTCTTTCACCTTGATTAGAAGGCTCCTCAGCTCCTCCTCGCTTTCGGCCATCAGAGTGGTGTCATCTGCATATCTGAGGTTGTTAATGTTTCTTCCAGCAATTTTCACCCCAGCTTTGTATTCTCAAGCCCCGCACATCCTCGCATGATGTGTTCTGCATACAAGTTAAAAAGGTTGGGTGAGAGGATGCAGCCTTGCCGGACGCCTTTCCCAATCTTGAACCAGTCTGTTGTTCCGTGGTCAGTTCTGACTGACTATTTAGGTAACATTGCAAAATAATAATTT